AAATATAAATGCTTGTGAAATGAAAAGCACCAGACAATAAAAAGGGAATCTGGAGGTGCTTTATTTATTAAATGCCTCTCCCAAAAGAAAGAGATGAATCAAGCCTGCAAAAATGAGATGAAATTCTTGAACATATTGAAAATGTGTTCCCAGTCAAAGCTGGGATGTGTTTAGCACTGGAGTTCCTCCACATCCCCACACCCTAATCTGAAACACTGTGAAGGAAAGCTAAGGTAACACAACCTACGGCATTTCTATAAAAATACACAATTTCACATTTTTGTACTTATTCCTTTTGTTATGTTAGCATGCTTTCTGCATGAGGTCATATGATTTTAACAGTTGTTTTTACTTTTTCCATCACTGAGTCATCACTATTGCATATGAAACAGATCATAAAGGACTAAACAGATGGCACTTGCATTTCAAGCTACACTTATTTCTCAAAATAAATGGGTTGAAAAAGATTATTATTATTACTATCATTTTTTATTATTTTGGGGCCTGGATAACTCCTTTAAAGAGAGTTCCTGTCTCTGTGCGAGGTGAAGATGTTGAGATTGTGAGTGAACGAGAACAAAAGCCTCAAAAACGCCTGTGGCTTCAACATGGTGGCAAGAAAAGAAAGACTCTTGACAGATACTGTAACTGAGATTTTACAAGTACAAGTTAAAGCCAACATGTTTACACCTATCATTTGGCTGTCAAGATGGCTGTTTGTGTAACTCTGAGGCATAGATTAAAGACATAAACTTAAGGGACATAAAAAGTGCAGGTACAGACGCTTGTGGGTGTTTCCTCATGGTCATGTGCATGTCGCCCTGCTTGCCTTCATGAAAGCCTGAATGTGTGTGAACAGCTGTGAAAACACCAGTGATTTACGGTCACTGGTGGCCACATAGAGGACAGGGGAGCACTTTAGCTTCTGAGTGTGATGTAGCTCATTCTGTCACCCTCTAATCACATTTGACCATGTGTTCTGACACTGACTCGACAGCATTAATATAAAGTTGTCACAAGGGCTATATTTAAGTGCCTATAAATGTTGAGTCAGAAGGCCAGGATTTAAAAATATATTTTTTTTGTCTGTTTTTTTATTGGTTTACCATTTTTATTATTGTATTAATGTTAAACTTTGATGAAAAGCCATTGAATAGCCAATACTATTTAAATGTAGTTAATTCAGGTATATTATGGAAAAAAGTTTTTCTTTGTGTGCGTGTCAGTAAATGGGAAGTTCCAACATACCTCATGTAGTGTAATGATATGCACTGCTATAGGGGTCAATACTAACAAACTACATAAATAAATTCATAATTATTATATATTTACACACAGCATTAATATAAAGTTGTCACAAGGGCTATATTTAAGTGCCTATAAATGTTGAGTCAGAAGGCCAGGATTTAAAAAAAAAAAATTTTTGTCTGTTTTTTTTATTGGTTTACCATTTTTATTATTGTATTAATGTTAAACTTTGATGAAAAGCCATTGAATAGCCAATACTATTTAAATGTAGTTAATACAGGTATATTATGGAAAAAAGTTTTTCTTTGTGTGCGTGTCAGTAAATGGGAAGTTCCAACATACCTCATGTAGTGTAATGATATGCACTGCTATAGGGGTCAATACTAACAAACTACATAAATAAATTCATAATTATTATATATTTACACATCATAAAATAAATAAAGATAAATAAATTAATAAACTAAATAGACGATGGATCATAGATCTTTGTACAAGAAGCATCTTTAGAATATATTAGAAATTGAAAATATGACAAAAAAAATCTGAAAATTGCAACTGCATCTGAACATGTAAATTACACAAACAAAATACATTCAAAACAACTTGTGAATCAATTCTCCATAATCATAGCAGTATAGCCAGGGCTATTAAAAACAGGTCAGCGTATATCTGACTTTCCAAACTAAATAAATTAACAGTAATTTGATAAAGATTTTTCCTCATGCATGTAAACTGGGTTAACATAAACTTTGGGCAATAAAAAACGGTCAAGTTTAAATGCAAGGCCTAAGGTAAATATACTGAGAACACAGGAGAGATAGAGATCCAGGCTGAGCAGGTGTGAGAGAAAATCTGTCACTTCAGGTTAATTAAAGCAGAAAAGGCCACACTCGCACACACAACACTCACCCTGAGGACATGAAGGACTCCCAGCATGAATGTTTGAGGAGAGACTGAAAAGCACCAGTGGAAAAGTGGAAAACAGATCCCTCAGTAGCCTACTACAGTCTTACGAACAGAATATAGGGAGGGACTGTGGTGGTAATGTGGACTGACTGAATATTTTGTCTCATCGTGAGCCAGCCAGTCACCAAAGCCTGACAATCATCTCTGATTTAGTGTGTTAATATCAAAAGAGGGTGCACACATTTAAAAGAGTTTTGTTTGTTTGCTTGTTTGATTTAAATGTCTAATGCTTGGCCAAAACGGCTTAATACGCTGCGCTTACCATTTTAGACACAAGATGTATGTATACAAAATAATGCTTTTTTTTTTCCACAGATGAGTTATTTCAAATCTTTGACAGGGTTGTCTGTGTTCACTATAAAAAAGAAATATGTGGGATATTATGTATGTATAAAATCATAAGGTTGCAGCATATTATTTTGCAGAAGCTCAGTAGAATACTCAAAGTTGCGCCTATATTCACTATTCTGTCAGTTACATGAGATTATAAACAGCAAAATATAAACAGCAAATTATCATGACAGTACAAGTCTGACACTTTCTATAATAAGTAAGTCTGTGCAACATATGTCATCAATGCGGGGATGATAATAACCACCTTACTAATCAATACTTCATGAAGGCAGACATCAGCATCGATCTGCTGTCAACAACGAGTTGTGAGGCATGTTTATTTCAACACACTGTTTTTGTGTGTGTGCGTGTGGTAAAAAGTGTCTGATAAACTGGGGGGGGAAGTCTAATAAGACCAGTGTATGCGATAAAATCTCAAATATTATTAGAGCACGTTTATATATGTCTCTTACGCAAAATTACCCATGGTTTTATTGTAGTAAAAGTGTAGTAGCCTATTTTTTTGGGGCGTATCGAGTGGTTTTACTTTAACAGCCTTTGCCCATGGAGATCAGCAGCACCTGCATTGTAGGCCATATCTGTTCCAGTAGATGGTGCTAGTGTATCATAGTCAATCTCACAATCTGCAAATAGTCAGCCATTATAGAAAAAAGTGCTTTAAAATAAAATATCATAATAGAGATTATAAAATATTATAGGTAGGCTATTTATTTTAATCAATGCATAAATTATATTTTTAGAAACCTTTCATTTACGAGATTGGAGACGAGCTCGGGAGGTAGGTGATGGGTTTCAGCAGATTTTGGGCGTGAGGTGATATTTATTTCGTCCAGTTAGTTGTTTTGGATGAGTTAGCTATATACACAGGGGCGATTTCAGGTTAAGTGGGACATTTTTTCCACTCATCTGAATGGCATGAATTCTACCAATTTACCTGAATTCACTTTATATATTTCTTACACAGCTATATTATTGTGATTAACTTCAGAAAGGAGGTTTTTCACAGTAATGCCATAGAGGGACTATTTTGGGATCCAGAAAGAACCTTTCAGTGAGCAATTCTTAAAATAACATTTTAATAAACTGACTTTTTTCCATAAAGAACCGTTTATGTAATGGAAATGTTCCATGGATGTTAAAGGTTCGTCTTGGAACCCTATATTCCATTTTTGAAGAGTGTAGCATTGAATACACCATCTAATGTTGTTCAATCTGCATGCATAAGTTAGCTTTAAGATATAAGGTGGTGCGTATGTCTCTTGGGGTGAGCTGAACTACTAAAAGTACCTAGAAGAAACATGTTATTACCCTAGGTTGTCATGGCATGGTAATACTATGGTATTCTTTGATTTAGCTTAAGCTGCCATGCAGGTACCATTTAGTACTGTGGTATATATCTTTAATCACAATCACTGTACCATGGTACCTCCACAGTACTCTTCACCCTGAAAGAAAGGGAGGAGTTGTTGCCAGGGTGGTCTCAACTCATTATTGGGTGTCCCAAACCCTCCTTCAGTCGGGAATATCACTGGTTTCACTCTAGACAGATGTTCATGCATTCCTAGTTGTAATGATCTTCAATGGCATTTATTGATTAATGGGGTTCAGATGGCTGTGAAGGTCTGCTGTGTAGATTTCTCTTCTGGGAGTCCCACTTGACAGACTGATCATGATAAATCGGGTTAGTCTGCTATGCTGAGATGCCACGATAATTACATTTTTACATAATTTGGCTGTTAAAGACATCCAGTCATCAATTGATTTCAATTTGCAGGGTATCAGTCTCACTGTACTTTTCATTTTATTCACTTCTGTTTATATGCTTGCAAGAAGTTAAGCAAATTGTATTTTTTTTTTAACATTTGGGATTTATATGTTGAGTTCATGTTTAAAGAAAAACGAAATTTCACACACTCAAAATTTAGTATGACCGCCCCTTTACGCATTGCATTAACACAGTGAGTATGTGGTGGTCCTTTTGAGTCTGGAAATATCAGCTGTGTAATATTATATGTAACCGTTCATCATTGGTGGTTTGAAGATAGATGTTCGTTTGAACTGGTTTTCATGAGAATGCAGTTTCTTGGATTCCCATTGACTGCTGTATGTGTGGGCGATCAATCACCACGCAGATGGGATTGTGGGAAATCGGGCTCTTTTGTTTATAAGAAAACTATTTTATGCGTTCGTGCTCACATAACAGTCTATAGGATGCCGATGCATCGCTCACGCTCAATGAAATGGATTGCATAATGCGTAAACGTACTGAGGGGACTTTGAATCGAATGTTGAAGATGTCATGAGGGATGACAGCATCTTTCGGTCGTTCTGATTATACAATTGACTCAATGACTGCAAAGCTGACTAGCTTACTCCAGTTATTGCTGAATTTAACTGCTTTTGTTAAAGAGAAGGTAGGAAGCAGGGTTATTTTTCACTTAGGGATTCTTGCATCTGAGATTGGTTATTTGTAAAATACTGTTAATTTGCACATTCAGGAGTATTGAGTTCATGTTTAAGTCTGGACAGGTTTTAATTGACAGTTACATGTTTTAACTATTTAAATATGCATGATCTGTCCCTTTCTTAATTGTAATCAGTGTAATTTGAATGTTTAATTGAAGACACGCTTTAAATAATTTTGATGAGTATTATGTGTTAATGCTGTAATTTTTATTCACGTGTAATATGGCATTTTACATATTCTAAATTATTTGAATAGTACTGAAGACAAAACATTTGAATATTATGGTCTCTCCATGACGACTATATGACTATCATGATTTACCAATCCCACTATTGACATTAAGCAATGAATGGATTGAAGCTTGTTGAAAGAATCTACGACTCTGCGTACAAAATAAAGAGTCTGAAATCAAACAATGGGACCACCAATCAGTGAAGCCCACCAGCACATTTTAAGTACCCCCTTCCATCCCCCACAGAACAAAACCTCAGAATCAACACTATTCACTGTTCTCAATTCAGCCGTTAATTTTTTTTACCCTCCTCACCAATATTCAGTGCTTAGCTTTGATGCCTCAAAATGATCAGAATGGTAAAACGTACCCCCCAGCACTGAAGCATTAAATAACCCTGCATCAGACGGTGCTTGCGTGCTACTCGGGCTGTAAGGTTAAAAACACACATTCTCTCTTCATGGGGCTTCTGAGGCTCCAGCCCATGGACGCTCTTAAGTTAGGAGGTTTCTTTATTCTGATGGGAACTGCTCCGGGTGGTCCTCCTCAGAGTAGGAGGAGCAAGTGGTCTGTTGGCTAAATTTGAAGCGGAGGGACTTGGCTGGCATTGCTTTTCATGGATTAACACGATGAGCTGCCGTAACTAAAAGGTGAAGTGTGTCGTTTTTACTCCAATAGTGCCACTGGACTAAAATTTCAGATGTGTTTCCCAAATTCCTCCACATCAGGATTATTATTGTTAACTAAAACTATTAAAAATGATTGTTAATTGAAATATAGCTAAACATATAAACACTTAAGTTTCACACTCACTTAAAACTAGAGGTGCTTTACAATATTTAAAGTACATCAAACATCACTGAACAACTTTTGAACAGGAGTCTGCCTGTCTGTCTGTTTCATGCAGTATGGATCATTTTTAGCCCACTCTCAGAAGATGAGCATCAGCTATAGCACTAATGCTAAAAGAGAAGATGAATTCCCAACCAATAAGGGGCTCATCTCGTTTTTCAGTTCACTGATATCCGTGTTCCTCTATTGCATTAAGTCTCTTAGACTGACTATAAGCTTGGCTGCTCCCGGTCTGTCCTGCCACTAATTGGTTCCCCTTTGTGTCTGTTTGCTCTGGCTGTGTGTGTGAAAGGGGAGGAGCAGCTTTTTGCTGGATCTCGCTATCACTTCAAGAGGCAGTGCTTCTGATGGTGTAGTTTTGAAGAGTGTGCTCCAGAGAACTTATTAGCCGGACCCTGATGTTAATGAGACTCCTCCAAAAAGCTGAAATCCCAAACAATTTTTAGGAGCACCACTTTAACAATTTCCCCACCCCGTGTAGTGATATGCAAAATATGCAAGTTGTTTGTTGTTGACCTATATTTGTGCCCCTGTGAAATGTGTCAGAGGGTGCTGGTGCTGAGGTTTGACCAGTGTGGGATATTAACTTTTTTTTTGCCCAACAACCGTAGTGATTAGTGCATGCCAGATCCATCTATCTATCTATCTATTAGGGGTGGAACGGTTTGCGGAAAAAAATCGAACCGTATGGTTCTCCACACACGGTTCGGCATGCGCTAGGACCGCGGTTCAACTTAAGTCTGACAATGCATCTGTAATATGGTTTGCTATATATAACACGTAAAACAAACAGGGTTTGGCTAATGTATGTTTCTGTTGATGGATGCGCATTCTGGCTTCCCAATACATTACAACAACGGCAATGGAAAAAAAAAAACGTGGACAAACCATTCACTCTTGTTCAATGCGAATGCCTTATGCTGGAATATGAGCATTTATTCCGTCATCACCCGGGTGCTGATATTTAAGAGCCAGAGGACTCAAACTCGCGCGCGCAGTGAGAAGATTTGTGCGTATTAAGCTAAATATAAAATATTAAGCTTTCTCTAAAGTATTGTTTAAATGGACAAGTTCACACAAAAATTGTCAAAATGCCCATCTTGTTAAGTATCCTATAGCAGACATAGCCGGCTGAACGTACTGTATCAGTGCACTGGATCAGTGCATTCTCTTAAAGTGACAGCACTTTCTTAATATTAATCAAACAGCAACAACAAAGAAATCACTCACTGCTCTTGATTGAACAGCTTTTGTAAGTTTAATAAATATTAATCTTTAATTTATACAGATACAAATATGCAATGCTGTTTTACATTTCATTACTTTATTCAATTTCTGTACCTGAAAACTGTTAGATCTACCTAAAAAAAAACTGAAAATCAGTTTTTTTATTTGTATCTTTACTCTATTGTATTTATTTGTGCTGTTGCTTATAGTTAGATTAATCTTATTTTCTTTATTTTTATTTGACAGTATAGTTTTTCCCTAAACATAGAACATACCGAACCGTATCGAAACCGTGATATAAACCGAACTGTAAGTTTAACCGTTCCTATTTTGAACCCTATCTACCTATCTATCTATCTATCTATCTATCTATCTATCTATCTATCTATCTTAATCTATAATCTATTATTATCTCTCTTTTATAAATCAAACATATTTTCCTTAATATATACATGTACACTATGTGTGTGTATTTCTATATGCATAATATAAAAAATACACAGTACTAACACATATAGTATGTAAACAAACTTTTATTTTGATTGCGATTAATCATTTTGTAGCCCTAATATATGTATGTATGCGTTAGGGGTGGGCGATATAGCCTCAAAATGATGTCACGATATTTCAAGAATATTTGCGATAACGATATTTATGACTATATAGAGAAAAAAAAAACATGGAAAAACATTTTATTGGTGATTGCAGCTGGCAGGCAGCAGCATTTATTAGTGTAAACAAAATGAAGGACATTTACATCCTTTTCCAATGAGCTACTATCATCGATGACAAACTACCTAATTCAAAGTGTAAATCTATTGTCATAAGGTGGCAGCAGCAGCTGTGTTTTCAACTTGAAGCAGACCGATCGGTGTATGACAGCAAAATACCGCGAGTGTGACTTACCCCTTATTTAACTTTTTACACTGCACGTGTCTGTGCGTTATGGCTCCGACGTGGCCACTCTAGTCAATACTTGTGTTTACACCAGCGGCGCCGC